TGTCCTTCCAGCCAGCTGGTCAGGATCTAGCTGCAGCATTTCTTTCCCCCCAATAAACTTACAACTCTGAAACCTGGGGGCTATTTCAGGGTGGCCATCAAAACCTGGGGCATTTCTACCTGATAAGAAACCTGAGAAACAAGTAAAACACTCAAGGTGAGAGTTTGTTATCTTTTAATCCTTGACCTCTTTCGGAGGCTTGAAAGGAGGAGGGGATGGGCTAAGAAATATGCAAGGCCTGTAGTTAAGGCCACCCACCCAAAGAGGTATTAAATATTAACTCTGCCCTGAAACCAGCCAAGCCTCGAAGAGGAGTAAATAAACATTCAGCATGTGGAATTCTGGCATCCAGAGAGGGCGCCGTGGCGAGCACGCTCTAGTTAAGCATTTCTGTACCTCCTGAATAGACCGATGGCTCCCTCAACTCTCCCCACACCTAAGAACCCCAAGAACGCAGTCTCTTGCTCAAGAGTGAAAGGTGTTTCCTACTTCCCTCTGGCCAGGTACCGGCTTTCTGCTGACTACCCAGAAGAATATCCCAGGAGAGACGCCAGCGCAACAGCCTGTGCCCCACTGCCACACATGCACACGAGCACAGCTCTGTGTGTGCCTAGGTGTCGTTATAATCGCCTGCTTGGCTGTGGGTTTGAGGGGAGAGGGGGGCAGGAATGCCCTGTGCAGAGTGTTGGTAGGCACTGCAATCATCCAGGTGATGACCAAGTCCCCTCTCCGACAGCCCTCACAGAGAGGGTGGGGGCCGGCTCTCTGGTGACGCTTAAGTAAGCTAACGCCCGTAGCTCCCAGTTGCCAGGAGTTGTAGCTCCAAATATTCACCCAGGTCTGGTGTGTGCCTGGAGACCAGGCACAGGGTCCTCCCTCTTCCCTCTTCCCCGCAGCGGGAAGGAACATTAGTTCACCCCAAGGTGGATAACGGACAGCTAGCTTTCTCCTCCGGAAAGGCCTTGGCCTCCAGCTTCCTTGTGCAGAGAAATCCACCACATGTACAGCCGATTGAAGGAGACCTCCTCTCTTCTCTTTGGAGTTTGCCATCTGGCTCACAACTCCAACTAGACCTAACATGTTGCCACAGTATAGTCATGCGGGTGAGGCTCCAGCAGCCAGGGAACTTTCTGTTTGCCAGCCTCTGGATCCATTCACAGGCAAAGTTGGAAAGTTAATTGAGTTGAACCCAAATAAACCCACTTTTGCCACTCGATTTTCCGTGAGCTTTCCCATAGGAGGTGGTGGGCCCAGGTGGAGTTCTCTTAACATGCCTAAAGCACACGACCCTTGCAGATCCACCAGCACAGCTCACACCTTACACACCTGCCCACACAGAGTTCGTTACCGCACTACTAGGACTGAACACACACACACCCTGCACCCTTCATGTAAATAAAGATAGACATCTCGCTGAAAAGCCAGGGAAGAATTTCCTGTTATGAATGCAATGGAAGACCAAGGAAGGAACATTCCACTCCACCTGGGCCATTTTCCACTCAGACTCCCTCCAGTCCAGCAAGTCCCTTCCAGTCACAGACCCACTTGAACTGGGCAGAGATGAATGTTTCCCAAACTCCCCTAGCGCTCCCCACCATGTGTTCTGCACGACATATCCAACAGAAACAGGCAAATGAAAAAGCTATGACCCGACCAAGCCTCCAAAAGAACACGGTAACCTCAGGAAGGTATCAGCACACCTCAATCCCACCCTAACTCAAAGACTGGTGGAGAGGAGCCTCCCTGGCTAGGGGTAGAGTAAAGAGACTCCCACACGCCGGACCTCTGACTTGCCGCCGATCCTGTCTCATGCTACAGAATAAGCGATCGTTAGTGACTGACTCACCTGTACAGGGTGAGGGACTGAAGAGAAGAATGGAACAGCCCTTTTATTTCAAAGGGCCCAGAGGAGACAGAGACTGCTTCCCCTGCCTCCTACTGTTTTCTTCTTTTGACCTCCTCCTGACTTACCTAGACAGGTAAATGCCTCAGCACTGCCTCACTCCGCCCTGCCGCTGCCTCTCAGCCAATCCCGGCCTCCCCTCCCTGCTCTCATTCCAGCTGTTACTCCGAGGCTGCGGGAGAGGGATGGGCAGGCTAGGACTGCTCTCGCTGAACCAATCATCTCTCGCCTCTCCTTCCTCGGAGCCAATAGAGGGCCCTTAAAAAAACAGGGCTGGGGCCCCGAGGGACAGGTTAGGACTACGTCTGGAAGACCAGAGGCTTGGCAGGAAGAGGACAAGCAAAAACATATTTATTTGTTACTATTTAAAGGAGCACTCCGGCAGCATGCTTGTCTGTGAGCCTGGTTGGTCCTTGGTTTCCCCTCTAAAATAGTTTTCTTTTTCTTCCCCCCAGGAACTAAGAATTCTCCGGAATCCCCCAAGTTACAGTCCTTTGTGGCCAAGCTCTGCTTTTCGGATCTTCGCATATCCACTTTCAGCCCCAGTTCTAGCAACTCCACTGGGGAATTGTGTCCTACAGCTACGAAGCCCTTAGCTAAGTCACTTTTACCCCCTACCCTTGCCCATGACCTGCTTGAGGAAATAAAACCATTTCTCCCTCCCGGGTGTCTGCCTAATGACAAAGTGACCGGCAGCCGCGAGGGAGGGGTCACGCACCCTATCATTTGGATCGC